AGATTTAAGAAGTTGACCTACTTAGTACGTGACTTACGTGTGGCGTGAGTTTAGACGCGCGATATACATATTTTATAACGGAAGATATAAAAAAACAATATTATGATACGTAACCTCCATTTGTCTAGGAATTTTGAATTATTTCAATTTTATATATTATCGTACTTATTAGCCGCGCAATCGCGCGTTTTACTTTCTCTAGTGTGTCACTGCCTTTAATCGTTAGTATGGTGATTAAAATATTTATGTTTGTGAAGTGTTAGGTTTGTGTACTGTGTACTAAGAATCTGAGCGTCCACAATTTGTGATTTAAGATTGCCTAAACTTACCAACGAACAGTATTTGATTTGGTTTATAAAAATATGTTTCAATATCGTAATCTAGAAATCAAATTTACTACTAGTATAAAGGAAAACAGGTGTTTAGATTTTGATGCCTAATTTATTAGAGCCATTATTTTAAACAGCGTTTTAATTTGAAATTATAATGACATTCACATAATACATACATTCTTTTTTGATGACCGTATCTTCTCTAATTATTACCTAAGTTACTATAGAAATATTTAATAATGAAAATGTCTAAAGAAACCAAACAACTTCTCAGTAGCAATTAATTAATAAATCTTAACTATCGATGTATAATTTAACACACAATGAAGATAATCAAACTAACCACATTTCACAGAACGCAGCGTGAAAATATTTTCTCAAAAACATAAAATTAAACGATTACACACTAATTACCATAAAAAGCCATTTTTATCTCAATCTACGGAATCCGAATGACATCATCAAGCTGAGATCGTATCGTGCCAATAAAACACCTGCGGGTCCCAAAAATGGGGCCCAACACCTTCTTCTATTAAAATTACCAATATAATAGGTGATTAATCTTGGGGCCAACAAAAACCTTTGAATTTACGATCCCTGTCAAAATAAATATAAGTTCACTACGGATAACAAGATGGTAGTTGTTTTTTTTTACCCCAAATTTACTTGTTTAACAAAACATTACAAAAAGAGGACTTAGCTAAAGGTTTTTTTTATTAATTGGGTATTGGTTGGTTTTGTTGTTTTTTACGCCCGATGTGTATATTATCGGGCGATATATGTACGCGCACATTAACGCGCGTTTCGGATTTGTACGTGTTAGGTCTGACGTACACTGAGGTATTAATGAGTGAATGAATGAATGATTTTGCTGTTGCCAATATAGTGCGCCACTTGATCACGTGAAAATTTTATGGATTTTTAAAGGCACTATTTCATCATAATAATCATATAACATCAATGTATTATAAAACCATTTAAATGTTTAAGCAAAGTTTCATTTATGCAAATAATAATAAGTAGCTCCAATCCATTCATTCTACATCACAACTCATTTTACTGAACGAATGAACTGATTCTAATTCGTTTATCCATTCATTCGTTCAGTTCTCTAAGCGTTATTCCTACATAGATGTTATCGCTACGTTCCGGGAAGGACATGTGTCGACCAATAAACTAATTGGTCGCGCTATGCCCAGGCGCAAGATAGGACATTTATTTTATTTTTATCTTGCTATAGACATGTTCTGCGGTGTCGCTTGTGTTTATAAAATAAAGGAGATGCGAAGTTTTGCGTGTTGTGTGGAAAAGTTTATTAATGCTTTTTAAGTTTAGCTTTGTTAAAATATTCGACACAAATATGCCAAATTTCTCAAATTACTTTTTCTAAGTCAGGCAATAAGCGTCAAGACGTTGACGTTATCAGAAACGTATGTTACTTATGGTTAATCAAGATTTCAAAATATTAAAAAAAATCAATGAAGCAGACATACAGACTGTCCAAAATTCTTACACATATCAACCCAAAGATTTATTGAATTCGATAAAATTGTGTGTTTGTAACGCAAGCAGAACGCCTCACGTATCGGTATTCCGATTCCATCTTCAAAAACCTTCTTTTAATTAATTTAAATTTGAACACTCGTATTTTTAACGGTAATTACATGCACGTTTATAATGACATTTGTTTGAAAAAGGAACGGAATAACGTTCTTTTTTCCGTTAATTTGAATTTTTAGTTTAAGAACTATGCGCCTATTTAATTAATTGTTCTTAATGTTAATTAACGGTCTTTAAGATTCTTATGTGGTTTTGAACTTGTATGGAGTCTGTGGTTTTTGTTTTTATTTCTTTTGTTGTTGTATTGGCATAGGTGTGGTTTTACTATTGATTTTGGTGAATATTTTTTAGAGAGAATACAGTTTTAGTTTTAAAGATGAATAATGTGATTCATTTTATTGTTTAGATGTTTTGAAGGGGAGGGTCAGCAGAGGTGTGATTATAGAATGTAGCATCCACTTTTTGAGTCCCATTTAATAGGCCTTTTTGCTGTAACCAAGACACAATTTCAGATTCAGTGTTGTTACTTAGAAATTTTTAAAACATCAAAATTAATAATTTGTTCTACCCGGGAATTTAACCCGAGATCCCGTGCTCAGAATTATGACTAATATACCCTTTTATTCACTCATAAATCACGGAACAAAAAATAATTTCGCTCGAAATATTATACATACGCGTCCCAAAAAGACATAAACGAGGCGCATAAAATGTCGCTAATTTTTAAACGAGCGCATTTCGTGTCGTCCGTTTTATAAATGCGTATGTAAATAAAAGTTGATTTTTAAAAGATAAAATGACTTTATTGCAATTAATTTTCTCGGAGATATCCTCATTAATGTGTTTTTATTTCTTTTAAGCGCCATTTTAGCGCTATATAATTAAGTTTTTTGGTTGTAAAGTATTCACTTTTTAGGAGATGATGTGATGATGAAAATAGTAACTATTTTACTTAAATATATATTGTAACATAATATCATAACATCGCGCCATAAGAAAATGTATGACAAGGACACGGACCGAGAGTCCGTGGGGAATTAGTATGTAACATTATAAAAAAAAACAACACGCCTTTTATCCCCGAAAGTGTACGCAAATGTGCACATTACAGCACTTAATGCCACTGTACGATATAACACCCACTTTTCATTATTTATATTATAAGTCCCATGTAATATACCGGGCACAATTCCAGACTCCGTGCTAAATTTATTAAAAAAAACTGAATTTATTAAAAAAAAACTAGTAATACTTTGCCCGACCCGCATATCGAACCCGACACCCCTTGCCCGACAGTCGCACTTGCGACCACTTGGCCAACGAGGCAACAGTATAAATTGTGTACATAATATAATTACTACTGTGAATTCGTCCAGTGGTAGAAGAAGTCACTGTAAAATATGAGGCTTAAAGATTCAGAAAACGGCTCCAATACTACCTCACAATATTTTATATTATTTAACAAATATATTAAGTAAAAATAGAGATTAGGGATTTTTTAGTTTGAGGCAGGAACATCATCCAATGACTGCTCCCCCCTGGGTGAAGCGGGAGAAGTCAGACTCTTATTGACTAAAAACTACCGTTCCTACTCCTGCACTTCGAGCGGGAGCCTGGGTAACCTTTTACGTTCTCCTAGATTAGGGATAGTATATGCTTATTGTGATCTTCAATCCGTTGCTGAGCGTGGAGATATGAAGTAAGCCCTCTGATGTAGCGCCTAGAGGAGGCCTCTGATGTTTTTATTGTCAAGCTCTTGTATTGTCAAATCCAGAGAACTTTTTGTTTTAAGGTATTTGTTGGTAAGGTATTAAATTCTCATGGAGCCCTCTTGCTTAAGGAGGACGAAAGGGACTGTCAGACTTTTACTGATAAAAAAATCTGAGAATTTAGAAAATAATTTATTAATTCACACGTATCTTTAGACTTCCAGATCAACAGTCACACTAACCAACCACATAACAAACAAGACATTATTAAGAAAAAAACCCAAAAAACAATATGGCGACCATTAATAATAATAATTTCTCGTTTTATAGTGACACATGGAGACTTAAATTCGGCAATTAAGTTAATATCATGAGTTTAAACTTAAACTAACTTAAAGATAAATGTCCTTGATAAGTAATTTGATTTATACTAAGTTACAATTAAGTTTGTGTACTTAGAAAGTTTATTTTTAGTTAAAATATTATTCGTAGATAAAGTTTTGATTGGTGAAGTGTTAGAAAACATGTGTTTATTAATTAAAATGTAGGATTTCTCTTTTTAATTAGAGCTAGTAGATACAGTGTGGTACTTACCTAAGAAAGTGCTATTAAAAATGTAGGTACATCGTGATTTTGGCGCCTTATCAACTGAGGAATTATCAAAAGTAGAGAAAATATAAAAAATATTTTCAACAACACTTGCTTGACCTGAGAGGCTGGGAGCTGAACCGTCAGACGCGCTGCTTGAGCCGCGGAGAACGTAAAAGGTTGCCAGGGCTCCGGCTCGAGGTGCAGGAGTAGGAACGGGGTGGTTTTTAGTCAGTAAGACTCTGACGCTATTTCCTGTCACATCCAGGAGGGAGAAGTCATTCGATGATTTTCCCCCTTAAACAACCTCCAAAAACCGCTGCAACTCCTGTAAGCCAGTATCTATAGTAGATACAACCATGAAATACCGGAACATTGAAGTCTGGCGCGTCCCAGGGACATGAGTAACTGTCGCCTAAGACGCCTTGCTGGTCTACAACTACAATACTAATGATATTTAACTTCCATATATCTTATCTATACTATCACTCATTCTAGGATTAAACCTAAGAGATTGAGTACCGAACCAATGACGCTGTTGATAAGGAAAATAATTTCCAAATAATATGTCTTATTCATCGTGTCCTGATGAACTTGTTACAGATTGACATGCGATGGATATTGAAGACAGTGATGTATTGTAGTGTCAGTATTTTGGCGGTTACCATATGTTATGTCTAATCAACGAGTTGAGGACTTGAGATACTACTTTGTACCTTTCGTTATTTTTTGCACAAGCATAATTAAAAAAATATGTTTTTTTTTGTATAGGACGGCAGACGGATGACCTGATGGTAAGTAAGCGCCGTCCATGGACACCTGGAACACCAGAGATGTTACAAGTGCGTTACCGGCCTTTTGGGATAAAGTATTTGAGAATTGAGGATTTGGGTAATGCGAAATGGGGATGGAGTGTATAAGGCGTCCGAAATTTTTTTTTATGGTATTAACCGGTAAACGAGCAGACGGATCACTTGACGGTAAGCAATCGGCGTCGCCCATGGACACCTGGAACACCAGCGGCGTACCAGGTATCTTGGGGTTTAGGAGTTTGAGGATCGTTGGGGATTCAGGAATTGGAGAGATTGGGGAAGGGGAGGGTAATTGAGCCTCCGGTAACCTCGCTCACACGACGTAACACAACGCAAGCGTTGCTTCACGTCGGTTTTCTGTGAGGCCGTGGTATCACTCCGGTCGAGCCGGCCCATTCGTGCCGAAGCATGGCTCTCCCACACTTAAAATAAAACTTAAAAGAAAATTCACGATAGGTATAATAAAAACTATGTAGTTAAATAAAACACTTTTTTACAATATACAATTCTAATACAATCATCAACAGCTAGCCAGCAACAAAAGGTGTGATGTTATGTGTAAAAGCAAAATCACATTAACTCCAAATCACCATCTTCTCTCCAAAGTACACACTACTCCTGACTCCTAAAACCCAACTTGGCACTCAAAAACAAAGACAGAGGATGCGTCAAAACCCAAGACTTCAACTTCAACAAACAGATGTTTCAATTATAACCTCAATCAGTTTGACGTAGCTGGCAGTGTAATTAGCTGATGTAAATACCCTGTCATATCTGTCAAGATGGTTGAAGTCATCATTATAAATGCTGATTAACTTATCTTGAAGATGAACCTTTGAAACTTGACTAATGTGTTGAATGGTTCGGTATTTGGTAGTTCAAAACTGATTGTTTTAATTTGGTATTGTTTTTATTGGACTGCCTCGTTGGCCGAGTGGTTTCAAGTGTAACTGCCGGGCCAGGGGTCTCGGGTTCGATTCCCGGGTCGGGCAAAGTATTACGGGGTTTTTGAAATAAAATTCTCAGTGGTAGCACGGAGTCTGGAATTGTGTCCGGTATATGGCAATAGACCATGTAATAGGGTGTGTCCCTATTACATGGGACTCATAATATAAAATAGTGAAAAGTGAGTGTTACATGGTACAGTGGCATTAAGTGCCGTAATGTGCACCTCTGCCTACCCCTTCGGGGATAATTGTGACTTGTTATTACAATATTTCAATCTAAAAGTGGACTGATTTGGATTTGAGATACCTAGTTACTTCATAGAAAAAATCAAGTTTGTAATATATCTAAATCCAAAGATTTTATTTGAATATGATCTGTATTTCTGAATTACGGGGCTTGAACTTGAGAATATGTGCTCACTAGTGTAGGTCTTGCAACTACAAAACTATTTATATATTATATATACCAAGCATTTAACTTGCATACCTTAGAAAGACGTCAGGTAGCCATCTTACATTTTTTACAAGCAAATATTTCAAAACATAATAACTGGCTACTCGGAAATTGTTATTAAATAATAAATCATTAACGTCAAACTGTATTCGTTTGAGTATCAGCAGAAGTGTCTAGTCATTGTGCCACCTACTAATATTACGAATTGTGTTCTTATTTCTTACTTGCATTTTGGTTATGTTGAGTTCCGTATATTTAATAGATGTAATCTAATAATGTTGTATTCTGTCATTAGAAAACTGTTTAGCAGATTAAGATAAAATTTTGCGATTCGATAGTTAGTGATTGGGATAAACTAAATAATATGGTAATAAAACTTAAAAACTTTGGTCAATTATTATGGTAAATTATTACTTATAATCATTGCGTCATCGGTGCAGTGCCAACATTAAGTACTTTATAAGATTTATTAACTACTAGCTACTTCCACGCGGTTTCACTCGCTCTGCTCGGCGCCTAATAATTGTAGCGTGATATTTTATAGCCTATAGCCTTCCTCGATAAATAGGCTATCCAACACAGAAAGAATTTTTTAAATCTAACCAGTAGTTTTGGAGATTAGCGCGTTCAAACAAACAAACAAAAAAAACAAATTCTTCAGCTTTATAATATTAGTATAGATTAAAGTATGAGATATATTTTCCTTTAACAGGAGGGTCTCTAAAAGCCCAGCACTGGGCAAGTAGACATCGATACTAAAAACAAACAGTGATGATTATCCTTCATTACTGGACGAGGTGTGTCGTTAATCATTCACTTGTTAGATGACGGTTTACGTGATCATTATCGGTAGGGTAGCCGCTGTTGTTCGTGGCCATCGTTCGTGGTGACGTTTCAATATGGCGGCGGCCTGTTTTGTTTAGTGTGGTAACTTTGATTTTTAATGGAAATTTATCGAAGTTAATCGTAAAAATAAAGACAGTTGCAATTATCTTAAATTATTTCAAGTTTGGACTGTTTAATTCTATCTCCTTTTTATTTTTCTTGACTTTACGACTTGTAACACATCGACGCAAAGTTTAGTTCTATAAAAATTAAATATTTGTAAAGTTAAATAGTGGACTACAATAACACAGGATAGAGAAAAGTGGAATGCTTTGGAGGAGGCCTTTACCCAATAGAGGTTCTTACAAGATGCAAACTAACAAACACTAACAATAAATTACCTTTAAGATTTTAATTGACACTAACAATACTAACAGCAAGAATAAAATGTAAAATTACCTATAAAAAATAAATGTTTTTTTTTATTCTATTTATTCATTTATTATTTAACTAGCTGTTACCCGCGACTTTGTTCGCGTGAAATTATTCATATTTCTTGATATTTTATACTTTTTTGACGCGACAACGTGTTGATTGGCGAGGCGTATTTGAGAGCTAGTATGAAACGAAACGGAACGTTTATTGTCTACTCAAGATGGTGACTGCTGTTTGTCTGTCAGTGTCATTAAAATGAATTAATAAAACGAAATGATCTCTGTAATCCGAATTTTGCGGATATAAGTTATCGACTCGAAATCGATATTTTTTTATGTTTTGTTTTTCAGGTAATGTTCAAATTCAAATTCAAATTCAAATTCAAATTCAAATTCAAATTCAAATTCAAATTCATTTATTCAATTGTGAACATAGGTAACATTAGGGTCTTAAATAACAATTTTAAACGCTATGTTGGCTTTTTCAGCATACAAAATTAGAATATAGTTGGAAACAAAGATTTGGATTGATTATTATTACTTAATGTCATTAGAATTATTAATTATTAGGTCACATAGGATTAAAAATTTAAATGTCACAATATTAAACAATCAGAATGTCAATAGTTAAATAAAAACAAGATAAAAATTATTAAACAAAATAAAATAAAAATACATCATATTTTGTCGTCTAAGTACTCAGTAACACTATAATATGCCTTAGAGATTAAAAACCTTTTTATTCTATTTTTAAAAACCTTCAAAGATTGTATATGTAGCAATTCGTTTGGCAAATGGTTGTATAATCTTGGGGCCATACAAAAAACGCTATTATTAAGAAAATGCGTTCTATTACTCGGGAAACATATGTGATTATTATAGCGTTTACTTTTCATTTTGTCAAACAGATTAATATTATTCTTTACAAATACTAACACTTCGTACATGTGGATACATGGTACCGTCAAAATATTTAAATTAATAAAGTACGGTCTACAGCTGTCGGTGTTTCGATCCAGTCTACCGTACCCCTTGACGAAATTATTAATATAGAAGTTAAATAACAATATTGATAAGAGTTTTCTCAAGAAGCATAAATAAAATTATGTCATAAATTTTAAACACACTTTTTATTACAAAATGCCCCACTGACCACATAATGTTCCATTTACCTCTCAAAGTTATTTCTTACGCTCCACACTGGATGAGTCACTGCGTGTGTATAAATAATTTATTTTAATGCGAACACTATCTTTTTAATATCATTAGTTATCTTATATTAGTTGCTTTTTATATGAGAGGTATATCACGCTTATTGTATTGGACGAAATAAATAAGACTTCTCCCGCCTGGGTGAGGCGGGATGGAGTGTCAGGCTCTTACTGACTAAAAACCGCCCCGTTCCTACTCCTGCACTTCGCTCCTATTCGCGGAGAACCTAACGGTAAACCGGGGCTCCAGCTCGACGTGCAGGAGAAGGAACGGGGTGGTATTTAGTCAGTAAGAGTCTGACACTCCCTCCCGCCTCACCCAGGCGGGCGCAGTCATTCGATGATTTTCCCCCCTTAAAAAAAACCCTCTCCATTAAGGTCACCATAAATTCAAATATCCCATTTTATTTAACCTGTACGGTATAAAGTATAATATTTCCTATAGCTATCATTTTTAATAAGTACCGATGTACCGATGGTTCCGTGGTTAAGGTGTCAAGTATCGGAATGTTGTGGGTTGCATTCCAGAAGTTTAATTATGTTGTTTTTACACGATGGTATGCGATAAGTAAAAGGTGATTTGTATGTTGTCTAATTATAATATCACGGTTGATTTCTCTTGATGAGGTAGGTAGAAGTGTATATAGTAGACGTTTACTTTTTATCATACATAACATAACATCACGCCTTTTATCGAAGGGGTAAACTGAGGTGCACATTACGGCATTTAATGCCACTGTACAATGTAACACCCACGACTCCGTGCTACCATTGAGAACTTTTTAAAACTCAGTAATATTTTGCCCGACCTGAGAATCGAACCCGAGACCCCTTGCCCAGCAGTCGCACTTGCGACTACTCGGTCAACGAGGCAGTAAGTGATATGTACAGTGTTTGTATATTCATATGCATGTAGTAAAAAGCGGTTATTTAAATATTACAAACAGATACATCAATTGTATCTGTATTGATACCAAAAGCCCTTAAATTTATAGTAGACTAGCTACCCGCGGCTTCGCTCGCGTCACAAAAGGATAAAAAGTAGCCTATGTGACATATACCAATACACACAGCGCCATCTATACCAATACTTTTGTTTTCCCTCGGGAATATCAAATTTTTTCGCGATTAAAAGTACCCTATTATTTAATCCACACTACTAACTTTACGTCTGCAAAAATTCAATGCAATCGGTTTAGTAGTTACGGCGTGAAGTCGGAAGAAACAAACAAACAAACAAACTCACGTTCCGATTTATAAAATTAGTAAGGATAAAAAAAAATCTGTATAGATAAAACAATAAAAAATAAAGAAAAAACAAATAGAATAACTTTACAATTGTATGCTTAATCTGGGGATCAAACTCATGTTCCTGTAGTGCGTACCTACTAAGACTTTTTTGCCGTTACAGTTTGTTGTAACAAATCTGTTATTTCAATTTTTAAACATCATATTCAATGTAAAGACGGAAAAACATTATTTTGTAGATACCACTATACTTAAAACTACTAAGATTAAAAAGAAACAACTTTATAACTCTTTACCTAAACCTGGGATCAACCCGGCAACCATC